GGAGGGGAACCGGCACCGGAGGCACCACCGGCAGCATCACTGGGAACACTGGGAACACTGGGAATACTGGGAATGCTGGATGTTTTTCAGGCACTGGGAACAGTGGGGACACTGGGAGGATTTTGGGCACTAGGGGCACTGGGAACACTGGGAACATTGGGAACACTGGGCGGTTTTTGGGCACTGTAAACACTGGGAGCACTGGGAACACTGGGAATACCGGGAACACGGGGAACACTGGGCGGTTTTTGGGCACTGGGAACACTGGGAGCACTGGGAACACTGGGTGGTTTTCGGGCACTGGGAGCACTGGGAACACCGGGAATACCGGGAACACTGGGCGGTTTTTGGGCACTGGGAACACTGGGAGCACTGGGAATATAGGGAACACCGGGCAGTTTTTGGGCACTGGCAGCATTGGGAACACCAGGAGGTTTTCAGGCACTGGGAGCACTGGGAATACTGGGAGCACTGGGAGGTTTTGGGGCACTGGGAACACTGGGAGAACTGGAAAGTTTTGGGGACTGGGAAGGCTGAGAGCACTGGGAACACTCGGAACACTGGGAATACTGGGAGGTTTTTGGGCACTGGGAGCACTGGGAGGTTTTGGGGCACTGGGAACACTGGGAGAACTGGAAACTTTTGGGGACTGGGAAGGCTCAGAGCACTGGGAACACTGGGAGCACTCAGAGAACTGAGAAGCCTTCAGGCAATGGGAACACTGGGAAGGAGCACTGGGAGCACTGGGAGGTCTTTGGGCACTGAGAATGCTGAGAAATCTTGGACTGGGAGCACTGGGAGCACTGGGACACTCTGTCTCCACTGGCCCCAGCAGGTGCCAGGCCAGGCTTTTTGGGACTAGAAAGGGACATTTTGGGACTAGAAAGGGACATTTTGGGACTAGAAAGGGACACTTTGTGCTGGCTGTCCCCAGGCCTCGGGTGAGGGCAGCAGAGCATCCCCAGCGAGCCCAGCAGGAGCAAAGTGGCTTTGGGAGCCAGGGAAAGGCTGCAGCGGGCACAGATGCTGCCCATGAGGAGCTGCCATGCCCAGCTGGGCTCCAGGAGCAGCTCCCTCCTCCGCAGAGCCCTGGGCAGCAGATGGCAGGGGCAGATGGGAGCAGGAGCCACTCTCCTTGGAATTACACAACCAAAAATGCATCGGGGATTAAAGGCAGGGCCCCATGGGGAACTCTCTCTGAGCTCCAGGTTTGGGGTTTGGGCACTGGGATCCATCCCTGAGCTCCAGGTTTGGGGTTTGGGCACTG